CAAGCGGTCCCTTAGGCACCGTTACAAACATGAGAGACACATAATGCCGACTGCTGCAATTCAAAGTCACCTACCGTAACAGAGAAACAATTGTCAGAATATCATGTCATATGACACTGGTCTCAAACCATGACTAGTGCTTTTCTGGTGACAGCACACGAAACATGTTCCAGAACCCGTAATTTTTCCAGTTCTGCAGAGCTGTCTTCAATATTTTGGTGTTCATTATCATTTATATTTAAATTCCTGTTATACATAGTCTTAATTCAATATTTCTCGATTTAAAGTATTTTGTTTAAAGTGTGTTTGCCTCTTAAAGTATGTGCAATTTGTTTTTAATGTAGTTTCCTTTGTTTGTTTCTAGATGTAGGTTTTTACTGTCATGCCCGTTGGCAGACCTTTTTTAAATATTTGAATAAACCTGCCGTGAGACTAGATATGACTAGAAATACGCCAAGTTTGTGCATGTAATGATATTGTATGTTTTAAGATGCTGTTGCTTCTGTATGTGTTTTATGTAGTTTTTATGTAAGATTATCGGAAAAAATTTAAAACCTGAAAACCTTAGAATGTTTCGAAGGTCCCGACAAATGTGAGATTGGCCGAATAAATTTGAAGTTGAGCTATTGTGGTTATAAATAATTTCATACCCTGTAAGCATGGAGTATATGAATAATTATTAAATCGTAGTTTTTTCAGAAAATGTCTTACAATTTGAAGCCAGTATCTATAAGAGCAGTGTCCTACAAAATATACCATATAATCGTTCATCAATATACACCCTGTTCGACACAGTTAATCAATCGATTTTTATTCCTTACTTTGTCCGTGAAACATCCCCTGACCTCTGAAGTATGCCTGACTTCGACCCTAGCCGTTGGTGGTTTGCTACGATTGTCCTAGACTAACACAATAATATTTTTTCTTAAATCATAAATTCCGTCCAAACAATTCGATTCAATGGCTGTGGAACCTAGAACAAAAGTCTGCATTCTTGGGGTTGAAAACACCAATTGAAATGTACCCTTAAGTAAAAAGCCACAATCAGCCGGAAACGGAAGGCGGGTTTCGCGATCTTGGAGAAATTCGGCTGGCAGCTGCTCATGCGCCAGCTGTTAGTGTCATCTAATGTAATAGGTAATTTCCGCCTTCGCCAATATGTCCTATGCTAAATGGCACTCGACACACGTGTAAGTATTTATTCTGTCGTGCGGCAAACGGATTCTTCGTTTATTTAAAGGCAAAGTGAAACCCAATGTATAGCGGATACATTTTAAATTATATTCATAAAGTTAAATGAATGAGGATGTTTACAATTATGGTAGGGGAGCCCAAGAGGGGATTTCGGGATTTACTAAAGCGCGGCAGATTAATATATAGGGAGATACCTTGTACCCGGTTAAGTACCTCCACAAAATATGAGGCCCATATATAAGGCCGCCCGTGAAGGAGACAGGATCAGATTAGTAAAAAAAATTGACCATCAGAAATTCCCGAGCGCGTCAGATTAAGGTAGGGTGAGTTAATTACATCCTAAAAAGTGTATATTCCACTAATCTGACAATTTGAGAGTGACGTAAAAAAGGGAGGGCAACAAAGTTGTAAAAAAAAAACGTCATCTCGACAGTCTCGAGCGTAGCTAATTTTTTTTTTATTTTGAAGGAAATAATTCAAGAATAATGAAAAATATATAATCTGACGATTTCCGCAAGCCGAAATAACAAAAATTCGTCGATAAAGTTAAATGCGTGCAGCTGCGTGATGCCTACATTTCCTTAAACCGATCGGAATCTACTAAACGGCGTTCTAAATATTTCCCTCAAAATTACATTTCCTGTGAATTTGAACCGATTCGGACCGATAGATTTTGAGAAATTTTGAAAAATCTTAAAAAAATAAGAAATATTTTTTTTTAAGTGGTTTCTTTATCGATCAACTTCAAAAACTAATCCGCCTTTGAGCTTGAAAAGCCACGTCGATCGCCACCAAGCTGGTCAAAAGCGGTTGATTCGTTCGAGAGATATCGTGAACGAAAGAAACCCGAAAAAGTGTTTTTTCGGGATTACTCCGAAATTTGCGGTTCGATCAATTAAAATTGCAAAATTACTTATGAGGATGATAAAACTGCGTTGAATGCCGCCAACCGCGTGAAAATTGCTTGATCCATTTAAAAGTTATTGCGGTTTGAAAATTCCAAAAATAGTGTTCTATGAAACTTCTAACAGACTTTCGAGCTGGGAGAGCTCAAATGCATAGAAATATTACTTCTTTGAACTCAGCGAGCTCAAAATATCAATTTTAAGCGCCCAGGAATGGAATTAGCGGGAAGTTGCAGGGATGGCCCTTTAGGTGAACCGTTTTTCTAAAATTTTTTTGTCAGATCAGGCGAATCCCTCTAGATAATCGTCAGATTATGAGACAGTTCGTTTAGAACATAAAGATGAACCACATATATCTTAATCTGACGCGCTTGAGTATTTCAAAATTGCGATTTTTTTTTGCAAATTATGAAAATGGCCGTGGGTTTGCGTCCCATCGAAATCGTCAGATTAGTGAATGAGAGCTTTTTTTTGGTGCACTTAACACTCCCTTAGAAAATCTGACGCGCTCGATAATTTTTATTTTTTTTTCATTTTCAACCCTTAAATACAACCACCCGCATCATGCAAACGATCAGATTAACATACGTACATTATTAAAAATACGTAGGGCATTGATGCTATCAATATCTGACGCGCTCGAGGATGTCCATGCAACAGTTTTTTTTTACATATTTAACAATCTATAGCCGCTTCCCCCACCGATGAAAAGGTATATATCATATAACATTTTTTTCTTCTTATTATCTAAGCTTTGCATCCCAATAGGTCTCTACGACGCTCGAGTAAATCCCCATTTAGCATCGTGGGCTCCCCTACAATTAGACGCTTTTTTTAAAGGAAACTTGTAGGTCTGATTGAAAATGGATATGGATATTTATTTTTACTTTGTTTTATTATATTATCGAAATAATGAGTAGTAAAATAATTTTGTATAAACGCGTTATAGTAATGGTGATATTAATTTGTAAAATACATAAATAATTCTTAAATTTGTAATAAAACGAGATGCATTTTTTTAAAATATCTTTAAATTTTTTATAGGGGTATTTTTTAAGTAGCACTTATTAGTAGGTAGTATTAGTATTATATTAATATGAATAATAATATAAATACTATATTTAAAAAAAACATAGATAGGTTACGGAAATTATGCACGCGTTGCACGTGCGACGTTATATTTGGAACAAATTAAAATAGTTTTGATAAAAAAGTATTATTTTTAGTTATGAGGGTGCGAACACTTCTTCCGAGTTTTATCATTTTAAATCTTTTTTTTTCTGGCAGTACTACAGTTATGATAACGCAGAGATTATAATGAAATACGTGAGACTAGGCTGTATAGGCGAAAAACTTCAGCCTTCCCTTTGATCGAATAAAAAAACAGGCGAAATGTAATTTTTTTCATTCTAAATTCTAACTTACAAAAGTGTAAAATGACATACTCGTATATTACGGAACAAACAACTGGAACTACTATTATTGGTATCAAAACGGCTCATTGGTCTAGTGGTTAGTACCCCTGACTGCGATTCCATGGGTCCCCGGCTGAGACAAACATCGATGTGATGAGCCTTTGGTGTTGTGCTTAGGTCTTGGGTGTTTAAATATGTATTTATATGTCTATCTATCTATAATATGTATGTATATCCGTTGCCTAGTACCCATAACACAAGCTTCACCAGCTTAACATGGGACTAGGTCAATTGGTGTGAATTGTCCAATAAATAAATTGTGCGTGTACTAGGTGTACACACGTAAGAAGTGAAACTTCTTTATGATCTTATTTTTCGAAAAATAATCTACTATATGCAACTTTACAGAAATTCGTTAAATTAGATAAAGTTTAACAAAAGGATTTTATTATCATAGACATGAATACAAATATTTCATTTTACCTTATTACTACGAAGATTATTATAGAATTTCATTAATTGTAATAGAATTATTACTATAATTGAAAAACGTGACGATTTGCTACAAAATTTCTCCCATACGTCGATAAAGAAGTTTCATTCCAACGCCGATAAAGAAGTTTGACTTCAAAAAGCAACATGGCGCGTAACCGAAAAATGTGACGCGTAACGAAAAAATGTTACACTAAATTTTTTTCCAACCTCGATAAAGAAGTTTCACTTCAAAAAATAAATAAAAATATACATACAAGTAAATGAAAATATATTGTAGTAATATATTGCTTCATAAAATGAGAGCCTTAATATTTAAAACAAGTGAAATCAACGTGATGTGAAAATCAAAACACTATGAAAAACAAACACATATTGTACGTTATACAATCGACTCCAACTATTTTATTGTATATACAAATTCTGTAGTAAGTAGGTAAATGCTGCGTAAGTAATCAAATGGCTCATACATCCTCATTAAAATAGCTAAGAAGAGGAAATTAAATAAAGCCCCACGATTTATGAACACTGTTCTAGAAACTTGACAATTTGTAACTAGATTTTTTCTAATTAATTATATGGCTAATTATTTTAAACTAAATAAATATACATCCCTTTTTCATCAAGCAAGGTATTAGACTTAACAATATAATGTGTAGGACACTGGAGGGTTGGAAAGGTGGAGAGTGACTTTTAGAGGCCTAAAAATACCTTGTTTGCTAGTGAAATGAAAAATAGAGGTGCTGAACCGTCTGTACTCAGTGAGCCGGAAATTGGGAATGATCATCGACCAAGCCAAAATCAAAATAATTCTGAGTCAATATGAGTTTATACTTAGGGTCAAATATATCCAATAAAGGCACGGAAGGCGAAATTAGACGGTGCATTGGAATGTGAAAGTCGGCCATGACGCTTCTAGAAAAGCAAAGCAAAGACAAAAGTATACATTGTCTTTCCCATTTTCCTCTATGGTGCCGAATCATGTATAATAAAAATGGCTGATAGACGCCACATCGACGTCATAATGTGGTGGTGGCGACAGATGCTACGCCAGCACCTATGGGTCCACCATATGGGTATGGCATGCACCAGGTTATTACCTGGACAGCCCATAGGACCAATATCTAACTCTAAAGAAACAGGAATTGCCCGGATACCTCATGACAACCTTATATTAGCCGGAAAAATGGAGGGAAAAAGATCCAACACGATGGACTCACCAGGTATTACAAAACCTGGGAAATAAGGTCTCTAACGCCATTCACCTAGCTGGACATCGTCAGAGATGGTAGTAGCAGTTCAGTAATCCATAACGAGGTCGGCAGCATCACGACGGTCAGCAAGTAAGCAAGCGCTCGGAGGACGAAGAAATATACCATACCATAATGTTTACCTTTTTGTGTCTTAAGGAAAGCAAATGGTTTGACAGTCATAAGTCCAAATTCTTATTTTACAGATATGTAATGTTGTAAATGTCGTTATATAGTGTATAAATAACCTCTTAGGACACTTGCACCTTACAAGATTAGTTTTTTATAAGATAGGGGAGCAAGAGAAACAAGGCCAGAGGATAGCCATAAAAGGCAGTTACACATGGACATCCTGGATGGATTTCCATGGGCTTCCATTCAATCATGGATTTTACTGGGTGTGTTGCCCGCCTTTGAGGGATGAGTAAGCTCTCTTTTTAAATAATAGAAGGCTGTATCTTCCAGGGAAGACCTACACCGGGAGCCGATTCCACAGTTCGCTAAAGAGAATGCCTAGTGAAGTGAACAGTGAAAGACTTCCAGCCAAGGTGGCTGGTAATAAAAAAGTATTCCTATAGTATAATATTACTAAATTTTCTTCTTAAATTTAGATTAAAGAAGCCTAGAGTTTAGTAAGAAGAACCAAAGTCTTTTTTATGCTTCTACGTTAGCATGAACTGAAGGAATGCCAGTAGGACGTTAACCCCCGTACCCAAATGAAAATAATTATAGTTCAATTGCGCGTAAATAATTTTCAGCAGCTTTCATACAGCTGTTATTGAAGCCCTTCGTGTTTAATTTAAACAACAAAAAGCACGAGCCCAATTTATTTTGTCAAACCCACTTCCGTTTTATGTAAAAGTATTATATACAAATACGTATGCTGTTTATAGATAGACTCAAACTCCAGTACAAATTGTTTATTTTTATATTTTCGATCAAGCGGTCGTAATCGTTCACGATATGATACAGGCTAAGATATACTTATAAGAAACTATTTGTTCTCTTGAAGATAGCAAATGGGAGAGTTTTCCATTCCTAATGCAACATTTTTCTATTCCTTCTAGTTGAACAGATTTATAAACGTATAGTCCAAGATATCTTTTACTTTCTAACCACGCATGCAAAGTCTCACATATCATCAAATTAATAATTAAAAGTACATAGTTATAAGTTTCACATTTAGATTAAATATACCGAATAAATCATTAAAATCTTGTGATTAAAAATTCCGTGTTATTTATTATTCTGAAACATCTGGTGCACTCTTAAGTGTGAATCTTTGAAGTTCTGACACCACTTCAGTAACATACAGGTCACAGAACAGCTGTTTCTTTGAAACATTTCTTCAGAAACATTAGTTTTTATCTACTTTTGTTTTTCATTCCGCATTGCACTGTTAACAATTGAATGCAGATTTTTTACCGGATTTCATTTGTTTATTTCAGCTTTATGAAATGTAGGTCAGTTCTATCAATTAAAAGGCAATTTTTCTATTTTAATAGTACAATAAAATAAATCAATATTATTAATATAATTATTAACTTATTAATTGATATAATTACATAATATAAAGAGTATTGTTCCAAGAGTGAAGCGACATCAATTAGGTACCGATATCCATAATAAATGTATATGCTCATATTTGAACATTACAGTTACACAGTACATAGATACATTGGCTTAATGGTCTCGTTACCAGGCCATAAAATTATAAAAAAAAATAAAAAACATAGATGTAACATAGATTCTGCATGTCTCGCGCCACAAAACGGTAGCTTATCTGTCAATTTCAATTGTCAACACCAAAACGTCTCTAATAACACAGATTAGCGATAAAAGCTCGAACAGTAGTATGTAATCTTATTACGATAGTTCGAGGTTTAAAATAACACTTAGCGCCTTACTGCAATGATCCATTGTATTTGCCTTGTAATCCTATTGTCCGGGGTTCCTAGCGAAACTGGCTTATCTCGCTTATCTATTTTATCGTAACCGAGAAAAGCAAATTATGTAATACGATAGAGGTATCTGCTGATCTATTTATGATGTTTATCGGATTTTGTGCTTGTATACCTCGTACCTATATCTATTGAATAATAATTTGAACTTCCCTTGAAAATATATTACATTAGCTTAATTTTTGGATGTAAATAACGAAAGTGCTTTTAATACATAGTTGGATGAAGAGAAATTCCATTCATAATTATTAAGAAACAGGAGTAGTGGTAGCCTACTGGCTTCAGCGTGCGACTCTCATCCCTGAGGTCGTAGGTTTGACTCCCGGCTGTGCACTTATAATCTTACTATGTGCGAATTTAACATTCGCTCGAACGGTTGAGGTTAGGAAACCGGCTTGCCTTAGACCCAAAAAGTCCTACTTGCCTATTATATTGACTAATGATCATGACACAGATTCAGACATCTGAGGCCCTAAAAAGGTTGTAGCGCCACTGATTTATTTTTAATAATTAAATAAACAAGTCCTATTGAGCTATTAACTGACAAAATTCTGACATATTTGTTCTAATAGTTCGAGCTTCTTCATACATTATTCAAATAAATAAATTTGGTATTGGTCTCCAATATTCGTTCCAAATATGTCGTGTCCATCATATACATCAAATTTTGGACGTGCATTCATGCTTTTAAATATGAGCACTTACATTGTATTTCAAATCAATTATTCACTTTGAGCTCGGCCCAGTTTGATAAACATCTGTTTGCAGGCAAGGACGGTAAGGTGTCTATAACTATTGATAAATGAAATTTAACACCCGGATATTATTTCTAGGTATAATTTCGGAAGAGTCCATCTGGAATTATGCGTTAATATTTTTTGATTTAGGACTAATATGTTATAAAAGGGGATTGTAGAAAGGGTTAAGTTTTAAAATAATGCATAAAGAATATTCAATTGCCACACCGAAATAACTACTTAAAAAAATATACAAATGACGTAATATCAAATTATATATAAGCACTGACCTATTAAAAATGGCAACAAATTATTACCTGAACTATTGATCAGACTTTACTGAGTATGTATAAAATTTCATTTAGATATCTGTTGCAACAATATTGCAACCTAGAAAGCACAATTAATTTAAATTTCATTTATTATACAACCAGTTTCAAAAGAGATTTAAAAGATTGAGAAAGAGAATACAATATCATTTATATATTCTTCATACAAACTTAGTCTTGGCGAACTGTTCAAAGTCAGTTTTCCAAATAGTATTTGTATTATGGTAGAAATAGCTAAATTCATTATCCTTAGATATTTAAGTGATTTAGTTGAAATTAAGAGCATAGTTGAAATTAAGAGCACAATTACGCTGATATATAGTTTTGATGAAAATGCTTGTTTTAAATTAATAATGCCCTTATTTTTTGTGTTCGTTTTTATGATGACAGGGCTTGAATATTTTTTTAATTTCTTTAAATCTTAAATTTTGAAAAGTGAGTCAGTCAATGAGACAGAAAACTGTGGGGTCTTCCATAATATATTAACAATTTAATTTATTAGCCGTACATCACGTTAGGACCGAACGGGGCAGAACACATCTAGTAATTTATTATTAAATACTATATAAACTACGAGACAAAGTTAAAGTTTGTGATATGATCCCGAGGGACTTCGCCTTTAGGGAACGTTAAACGCTTTTAGGCGTAAGGGTGTATAAATATGGAGCATTAGCCGGGTGTTAATATATTTTTTCTAAGACATGTGTTACTACTACTGGCAATTTGCAAGGTGTTGCTGACGGCCGGCGCCACTACAGTGATTTGACATTATTATTATGTTCGTATCCTTCGGAACTACACACTATACACTCAGTATTACTTGTTTATGAAAAATAAATCAGTGGCGCTATAACCACTTTTCAGTCTGGGCTTTAAATTTCCTCCAGATTTTCCATTCCTGTGCTTGACAGACACCGTCGACTTTTTTGGGTCTAAGACACGTCGGTTTCCTCACGATGTTTTCCTTCACCGTTCGAGCGAATGTTAAATGCGCACATAGAAAGAAAGTCCATTGGTGTACAGCCGGGATCGAACCTACGGCCTCAGGGATGAGAGTCGCGTGCTGAAGCCACTTCAAAATATGCATATATTACTGCGATTTTTTTGCTTATCCAGTCTTATAACTTTAAAAAGTTTCATAATGTGGCATGAACATCTGCGACAAATTCATTCATAATTTTTAATTAAAATCTTTAACGGATATAAACGCAAATCTATTACATTATTTTAATACTGTTTCGAGTGCTTTACAGCAATCGTGATAAATGAGTTCAAGTTAAGTAGGCTACCAGTCTTTTGTTCATTGCTAAATGAATGTAATTTTGCCAGTAATCAAATTCTAGGTTTGATTGCTCCGAGTATACGCTCAATTTTGTATAGGTCACAAAAAAATATTTGGTATAAACTGATTCTTAGAACTATATACCACGGAAATATTAAATTATGTAACAACCATTGGTTTAGGAATTGTCTATGTGTGATAAAATAAACACATAAAAATGTATCCATATACTCCATTACGTGACGAACAAAGTAAGAGTCTATACTGTAATATTTTTAGGTTCATAAAGCAAATTGGGGTTAACGTAATTTATTGTAGTCGAGAAAATGTGTTTGGCATTGAATAAATCCCATGACGCAGCGTTAATAGAGTGGAAGTAATGAATAGTAGAAATAGGACATATCTGATATCGAAATATTATGGAAGAAAGTGATTGCCGTTGAATATCTTAAGGTAATTTATATGGCAGTCGAAAGCAAGTGAAAAGTATTCAAAATTCCAAAAATTCAAGAATTAAATATTATTTATTCATTTAGGTAACACAATGTATACTTATGAACATCGATTTAGAAATACATATTAAATGCTTAATGCTTCTAATTTTACATTTACTGCCAGTTCTCAAATCAAGAACTCTCCGCCACTCTTTCTAATCACCAAGTTTTTTGTTTTGAAAAATGTTTGTAAGGAGCTGCAACAATTACACCATGTTCCACATGACATCTTAAGTAATAAATAGTTAATTAATAATAAAAAAACAAAGATTTGTCCTATCAGCAGTAGGCACGGTAAAAAGGCGACAGGCGAGGTTTTATTCTAAAAATATTTCTTTCTGAATAAAGGTTATAGTGTTAGTATTAAGTACTGCAATATAAACAATTATTTACGCAATTACTATACAATATCCAACTACTGTAGTATACGATACCTTTTAGTTACTTCAAATACAGGAAAAAAGCTTAATTTAAATTTTCCTTAAAATATTATTTTATCTTTCAATATAATTTTAAATATAACTATATTTGACAAGATAAAGATTTAAGCACTAGCATCTGTTATAAAATTATTTAATATTTTATACACATAAATTTATAAATAAAAAACTAAATGTCGGGAAAT